TGACAAGGTAATTTACAAAGAATGCACGGAGAGAGGGAGCTTTTGATAAAGGCAGACAATGAAGACAGTTCAATTGAATCGAATGTCCAAGCAAAGCAACCAATTATCCGAATTGTCATGCTCCCTTTCTCTCAAAAGCAAAAAATCCACAATGTGCCTGTTAAGCGTCATTTCCATTAGTCAAGACATAAGTCAAGAAAGCTCTACCTAAAATTGTTTACTCCCAAGTTCAGTGTAAATAATTACTCCACTCAGTAACTTCAGTTCAGGTCTTTACATGGACGTCTTCATTTTAAACATTTAAGTATTAACCATCAGTAATATGTACTTGTTTTTCAATCTTTTGCAAAATGAATTTGGTAATTTTTTGTCTCTGAACTTTGGTTGAAATAACGTCCGGATGAAAGGCGGCAAGGCAGGTTAACTAAACTTGTCAGCTTAGTTTGGAAAAATTAACCGCTACATATGAAAATTAAACAAAATCAATAAGATGAATAAGCTCACTATCCAAGTCAGTTTTTTATTCCAGCGCCGCAGTTTGTGAGACACACAAGAGAAATAAAATAAACAAAGAGTTGACTATTTGCCTGTAGAAAACAAGAAGCGAATTACAGTCCAATTGTTTTTGCCAGGCTTAATTTCCTTATTATCACAATAAAATAAAATTGAATTACTTCTTTTTCATCGTAAAGAGACCGCAGAATTTTGCTGTTTAAATCTGATTATGCTCCGAATATAACGACATGAGTGTGCGAGCGTTGCCAATCGCTGAATGACAAGGATGCATAGAAGAGCCAATCATATTCGCGAACACTATTCGCTAATGACCATAGCAACTTTCCAACAGATGCAATTACATAATATCTCGAAGCCATTTCAGAATGATACATTTAAAATGACAAACGGCGATCTAAACGAAGTCTCCCGAGATGGAGACAGGTAGAAGACACCTCAGGCTTTTATCGTGGACAGGGCGCAGTTAAACTCCTCCACACAACATATGAAATTATTAGTTCAATAACTACTGATACTCCTGGGCTCAAACCATTTACCATGATATGAAATTACAAAATGATTTTTCTACCCAGGAAGATTTTTAAAGGCATCGGAAGTGAAAAAATAAAAAAAAATCATCATCATTAGTCCTAGCTCTCCTCAGAGGGAATAGGGCCTTAAAATAAGTACCGTGTATGAATAACTTTGGATCACTAAACATCGCATGTCTCTAGTCGGTCTACAAAAGCGCGGTTTTCATAAGAGAGCAAAGTTTGCATAGCAACTTGTACCATGTATTTTTTAACTCATGTCTTCTTTACGTTGGAATTGCGCTGGAGAAAACAAAATATTTGAACAGTCTCAAATGGACTGTAGTAAGTAAATAAACATTTTAGGATGCAACTTTTCCGGCTGTAAAGAATCACCCTCTGTACCAAACAGCCCAGCAAATCATGAAACCCGTTAGCGAAACTTCTAGCGCTTTTAGTTTACAAGCTTTACAGAGATTTCAGCACAGAGCAGCGTCAGTATGCCGTCTATATTTTCAATGCGAACTTCGCCTTCCTTCATGGAAGTGTCGCAGTTACCTTTCTTCCTAATCTCAGGGGCAGTCAACAAAGACATGACAGCAATACTTCAGAATGTCGTTTTCGTGTTAAAACGCATTTTCAAGGGATGTGTGTAGACCTGAACCTAGTTTCATCTGTTCGGTTTCTATAGCTGAATACAGTGTCAGTGCTAAATTTGGGAACTGCTGTTACCTATCGGAAAATTGTACGTGATCTTTCTTCATACTCAAAACTCAGGGCTCCTGCCAAAACTACAATTTTATCTCCGAAAACATCATTCTATATCCATACCATGATAGTTCCAAATGGCCTATCTAATTCTAATCACTAATAAAAGAAAACTCCAGTATCCCACCACACTTTAATCTCAACGAGGTGCTTTTAAGACTTTCCAACCCATACGAGGGCCTCCCAGGGGTTTTGGGGAACAAAGGAACATAATAATTTATTTCAAGGAGATATTTTTGGGATTAATTTGAGGGAACAAGGGATGAAAATTTTAGAGAACGACGGAATTTATCAATGGGGGACATGAGAGAAAAGTGGAATTTTCAAGGGATCAAGGGAACTTGTTAGCCCGAGTCCGAGTCTTGATTCCAAATCGTATCACCTATCGTGACTGCTTTGTCAAGCGCTCCAACGAATGATACTCACCTTGGAGTTTTTCACCCGCTTTGCACTGGAATCAAATTAAAATACAAAAATTTCATCGCATTCAAAAGCTAATAAGCTTTTTTCTGGCAGATATGAAGTTCTCAAAGTGCGGACCAATGATCAAGCTCTCTGAAGTTTGCTACAGTTTACGGTATAAAGATGCGTTGGATAGGCTTTTTAGGTCAGAAGCAAATTGCTATTTATGCGTTGAATTAGTTAAAAACTACAACTTTCTTGCAGCGATTGAGCGAAACTCTTTGTCGAGATTGCACGTGAAGATATTTTTGAAGATTCTGAACTTTTTTGTTTTTCTTCACATCTAACAAGCATTTTAAAAAGAGGATGTCAACAGGCGTAATTTACCACTATCAGTTTATACCAAACGACAAGAGAATCGTGTACTTGTTTGCATCTGGTCAGTTTTTTGTGGTTTTATATCACAAGAAACAAATGTTATTTACTTTTCCACCATGCATAATTTAATAAGAAAATTTGTTTTATTCCCGAGTATACTCAGAATGCTACAACACACGTGTGCAAGGAATGTTAGTCACAGAAATGACAAAGATGCATGGAATAGCCAATCATGTTCGCGGCAAGCATTCGCAAAACACCGTGGCAATTACACGATATCTTGAAGCCACTTGCGTAATAATCAAATAAAAATAACAAATGGCGTTCTAAAGGATGTCTTCCGTCATGAAGTTGATAGACATTGTGGCGCGGTAAAGCCTTTGATTGCGGACGGGACGGAAGGAGTAAACCGTTTGTTTCAAGGAAACCTCAAAGTAGCAGTTTTCCCTGGTTAGTTCGACACGGGAAGATTTGTAACCAGGATTCCAAGCTGAAACTGAGGATTTACAAAAGTTACATTCTTGTCGGATGAAAGAGTATTGTGATGAATCACAAACTGTCTCATGTCATCGATTGATCCGAAAGCGCGGTTTTTGTAACAGGGCAGCGATTGCTTAGAAACTGCATAATAACGTATTTTTTTCATATGATGACAAGCTGACGCACACAAAGAAAAAGATCAGCGAACTCGTGAATGCTTGTGCAATCTACTTATTCGATAATTAAAATCGGAAGCTCTCCGGGTGTGTGTTCTGTTCTTACGGGAATTTGCCTAAACGGTCACTGTTCCACTGAGTGAAATACTGAAGACAAAACTTTTTAACTTGGCCTTGAGTTGAAGCTGTAAATACGTATCCGGAGAAGTTTTCAACCAAAAAACTCTCTTAACACGACCGTGGAGCTGCGGGAATAAACAACATAAGGATGATACTTTCCTCAAATACATTATGCACTGTACCATACAGCCTAACGAATCATGAAAACTTCCTCGGCCTTTTCAGTTTCAAAAAGATTTCAGCCTACGTCCTATGTATATAGCAGCGGCTCAGTGCTTTTCTACATTCAACTAACCTTTTCTTGGTGTAGCAAACTCAAGAGCATTCTTGAAGAAATTAACTACGACTTCGATTGCGGTCTCTCCGTTTTCCCGTAACGTCTGTGGCCTTTTCAAAGGACATTTGTGTAAAGTAACAGATTATTCTAATTGGAATTCTTCACCCGAATGTTACAGTGACAGAAATTAGTTTAGTTTTTTTCTTGTCCCCGAATTTATGTGCTGCTGTTATCTTTCATAAAATCTTACTTGCCTTTTTTTGGGTACCCAAACCAACTGTTTTATCTCACCGAAACCATCAATCTGTTTCCATTTCAGTAATGATTGCTGGAGCTCGTATTTCTTCTCGTTCATAAGAGGAAACTCCAACTTTTTATCACTCACTTTTATCCAAATATTTAAGATCACTAAACATAAGCCTTGGCTTTCGAACTCAAGCATACTCCGCGGAAATGATCCACCCACCATGAGTGCCCACAGAAAACCCAGTTTAGACATCTCCCCAGTGTCAGTAATTTAACGACTTAAAAAGAAACGTATTTCTACGTTACTTGTTTATCTGTGCAAGTGAGTTATCACTGAGCGTTGAAGACATACTTGAAGACATGTATTGACATTCATAGCTGAAAACTTCAATCAGAACACAAAATGAAAGTGAAATATCATTGATTCGGTGAAAGACAAGGCCAGCAAAAACAAAAAAAACCTTCAACGCAGAGTACAGCATTAATTCTGAATCCCATCACTTATAGTGACTGGTACGTCACAAGCTTGACATATTACTGTCCTAAAACTTCTCCACTCGCTCCATCCAATGTGATCAAATTAAAATGCGATTCTTTCATCGAAATCCACAGTTGATAATCTTTCCTCTGGAAGATACGTAGCTCAGAAAGGTGCGCTTGCGAGATTTTGTACGGGAAACCAGCGAAGGTCTACGGTATCAATCCTTAATGGTCCTGCTTTTCAATGCTCAGATAAGCAAATGGTTCATTAATTTTTTCTACTTAACTTGTTGCACCAAAGGAATACGACTTCGTTCCCTTTCGCGGTCAAAATTACAGGTGAAGAATATTTATAATGACTGTCTACAGATTTGTTTTTCTTTCTTTGCACTAAACAGGAATTATTGAAACTGGATGTGAAAATTGTTCTGAAAAGGTACTCTGTGGAGCCAAGTAACGAGCGGAGACGAAATATGCTTTGTTTACGAAAAACAATATTCACCTGAGTCGATCACTTCACTGTCGCTAAAAGCAGTGGATTGACTTTAAAAGCCTCGTGGAATGGCCTCCTTTCCAGAAAAACGGATTGCAAAATTAAAATCTTTACAACTGTCTAAAATTTTACCAATAGCTTTCAAACAAGCCTACCTGAGGATCTCTTGTTGTTAGGAGCTTGTAAACCCCGACGTGATAATCTGGTCCTGCTTCAGTTGTCGAGCTGTTCCACTGTCTATTACTTGTGATATCAAAGTCAGACTTCCTTTAGCCTGTCCGCGCCCTGTCGCGCATATTTGGCGTATTTACATAACAAAAAGTCCCCATTGTTTTCCAATCAAAACAATCGAAAATAAGGCTGGATCGCGTGAAAAGCTTCAAAAGTGTATTTAGCTATTATCACGCTAGGCTGCTTAAAAACCTTAGTTAATGGATAATTCATAAACACATAACGGTTAATGAAAATATCGGTTCAGAAAACCTTTTCAAACAATTTCACGTGGTTTCTTTGGACATCAGACAAGTAGCATGGAATAAGAAGTGAAGATAATGTCGGGTCTTAGTTGTATGTTGTTTGTGTGTTATACACATCCTTAAGTCACCAAGAAATAGATGCAAAAAGCTTAACCGAGACACACAACGCTCTCTTAAAATGCGGTCAATTTAGATGTTTTAAAAAAATGGCGCTTGTGCTTTTAGGGCGGTAAACATGTATTGATAGTGAGGTATCAAGACAACGTTTTACGTCAAATTCAAACAGTTCTACGGATTTCACGTTCAAAGTCTGTATTGTCACAAAAATTGAACGCAGAATTGACAATCTGTTACTTTTTGCGAGCAGGAAAAATGAGTTGACGCTGTTACCGATAACAAAGGAACATAAATAATAGAAGATACATTTATGGGGGAGTCGAAACGGGTGTTTTAAGTGTATTAGGTTGAATGGCGCTTTGGCATTTACCCTCTAGAGGCGAAAAAAATCTATTAGCAAAAAGGCGGCACGACTATTGACAGTATTTATTTACATGGAAGGACAAACAAGGCTGAGTCGAAACATGCGATAGACTTCTATAGTTCCCGAAAAAAGTTGGCTACTAAAGATTTGGAAATTCCCGTAAAAATGTGATTTATAACTCTTAAAAGCGTTCACGAGAAAATCAAGTATCAGACAAGACTTGTTCAATCTCCGACATCTTTTAAGTGCCGTGCAATAGAGTTGAACATGTGCTTTGTTACACACCTATATTGGCCTTATCTCCGACTGAAACTCGCGTACAATTAATATCCTTACTTTCAAACGGAAAGGACATCACGCGAGCGTAAAACAATGGAAATTTTTCAATCATTTAAAATATTTTTTTTTGCTCTTCAAACTTTTAATATCGAATATACTATATATTGGAAGTCTGAATAAAATCGCTTTCGTTGTTTCTGACTACCTGCCACTGCATTAAAGCAGATTATTAAAGTAATGCGAAAATAATTCGTGATGGTGTTTTCCATGTTTTGCATGGAAATTCAAATTTGAGGTACAGGTCTTAATTTTTGAGCACATATTTTTGACACCTATTGATTTATCGACCCGAGTGGAAAAGTTCTCCAAATTTTGCCTACGGCTTAAAACAATTCCGCCTATCCGAAGTTGCAATTGAAAACATTATTACTCGGGACAACTGAAATTGATTACAGGTTTTGATGATAAACCGCGTTTTTAGTTAAAGTCCAATTTGTTCTTAGAATCTTTTAAGCACACATCTCTTGACAGAATTGAACCAAATGCCAGCAAAACTAGAGACAGATAGAAATAACCCGTCGCGGTTTATACGCTGAAGTTTCAATCAAAGGCAAATTTTCTTTTCACTCTGTTTACGTAAATGCCTCATTATCATTTAACAATCGATTTTCTAAACGGAAGAAGAAAAGCTTCATCCTCTAGTCATTCTTAATCTTCTATACAAACCTTATTGTCCAATTCATTCAGTTGCTCATAGAACTCCAGGACTGAATAGGACCGAATTGCGTCAATACCTCGAGGCAAACAAGCCCTCTTGTGCGCAAAATTTAAAAAAAAGTCTAAAATGGAAAACACCGCGGGGCTCCGACTGAGAATAAACAACACTGCTAATCTCACCACGTGTGGTTTATTCATGTTTAAAAGGTGTATTTCTTTGTGAATACAATGTATTTTGAACTTGATCTGGTTTAATTGAGGAAATAACCTCAATGACCAAGCAAAAAATAAGGAAATTCTAAGCCTTTGCACGCGGTAAAGCAACGTATGAGTGCTTGGGAGTATTATTTTCGTTACGTGCGTAATTCGCTATTAGCCGTGTTGGTTGTCAAGGAAAAATTCGGTTTCCTTAGCTCTCGTCTCGCCTGTTCCTGGAGACCGCAAACTCCCTAAAACGTCAGTGAAAAGAAAAAAAACCACCTTGCTATCAAGAAAGACTTTTATTTCTCTCTCATGTGAAGCTCAAAATAATGCTAAAGTACTGTTTATTAACAGCTGGAAAACATGTTCTTTTAGAAGCTAGATGCAAGGCATAGAAATGCAGTTTAATGCAGATGTCTTGTTATTTTTGCTGCTTTAAAAACATTCTTTAAACATTACTTTGTAGCTACGATACTAGCCAAATAGCTAATGTTTACGTCGAAATGATACGTCAAGTCTTCCAGAAACCACATCTTGCGAAAATTTGAGACAGCACGATACAATTCTTTCAGTTATATAGAAAATCGCTACAATGAAACACATCTATGCAGCTAAATATAAAGACCCAACACCCATTTAAGAACAACACGCGGGACTTACGTCAGAAAGGGTTAAAAATTTCCGACCGCGACAATGTCTCTGTTTTCCTCGTGTTTATGGAATGACTTATGCTTTTAACACATAGGATTGAAGAAAGGGTAAAAAAAACTGATATCGTTAGCTACGTTGCCAACTCAACACCACCCAACGCGAACGACTCGCGCGCACAACGCGCACGTCGTTGTTACACGCGAGTGGACGCCAGAAAAGCAAATCAAATCGGCTGCGTCCTGACCAGAGTATAATCACCACCATCACCACCAACTTTTTGGTAGCAGTTTTATTCCCTAGAATGTTCAGTTCCAAAAAAAGCAACACGTCATTTTTCATACAACTAAAGAAATCTTCGAGAGTGGCTGAAGAGAGGCAGGAAAGCAGCCTCGTTCCCATGCCGGTTTTCCATTACTTGTGGACACGCTGTGGCCTCATGGTTAGTGCGCTCGACTCCGGATCGAGCGGTCTGGGTTCGAGCCGTGGCCGGGGACATTGTATTGTGTTCTTGGGCAGGAAAATTTACTCTCACAGTACCTCTCTCCACCCAAATGCTGGGGGTAACCCTGCGAGAGACTAGCATCCCATCTAGGGGGGAGTAGAAATATTCCTAGTCGCTTCATGCTACAGACACCGGGATAAGCTCCGGCCTGATGGTTCGTATGCAGACTTCACCTTTTTTCCCCTTTACTGAGGGGAAAAGGCTATGGGAACGAGGTTTGAAAGAGCAGGTCTTTATCTCGTTCTGCGAGTCCACAGACTTGAAGTTAGAATCACCTTGTACAGCATAATAAACAGTATAACGTGAAAATACCGCTCAATAGCATCGGGTTTTGCCACTGGGGTGGAGTTAGAATCATCTTTTATTGTATGGTTATCTCCGAGTGCATAAGAAGAAGGCGCAAACCCTACCATGTGACTGGGGTTATCCGAGCGCGCAAGCTATCTTAGGCGCTCGGGATTATCAGCGGTTTTCCCAAGATTTCAAATGGTGTTCTTTACACCATAAAATAAGTCATTTCTTGACCAAGCCCGAGATCAAGATGGTTAGATATTGAAGCCGTTCTTTTTGCGTGTTCATGGAGCTCGACTGTGTCTCGGCACGTAGACATGAAACAACGAATTTGGCCAATATCCAGAAATCTTGACCTTAGGCTATAGGTACAGCATAATAAACAGTATCGCATAAAATATTGCCCAATACTAGCTTTATTTAAATGATCAAAAAGTTAGAACTATCTTATAGCGCTAAATAAACACTACCACATGTAAGTGGTAGTGTACTACATCATTGTAAGGGGTTCAATTTGGATGGTCTTACAAAAGCTTCATCAGATTCAACTTGTACTTACGGCTTACCACCTCCACCGCTTGTACTGCTAAATAAACGGTACTACATGAAAGTTCAACTCAAAAACCATTCTGAGTTATCAAAAAGTTCAAACCAACTTTGTACAACTATCAAATAGTATCCCATGAAAGTTTTGGTGGGTAACTTTCAATTGAATGGTCATACACTAAAATAGTAGTATTCAACTACCTTGTACATCGGTATAAAAGTACTGCTCAGTAGCTTTCAGTAATGTTCGCCACTCTAACCCCGGTCTAGTCTCCTTCCCAACCGTTATTAGGGTCGGAGAAGCGTTGCGTGACGACTAAGATAATGGTTGCGAAGGAGACTAGCCCCGGTGTGGCCTATGGCTTCATCGAGACTTATATATAATAAAAGTTGAAAGTCAGAACCACAAAATTCTGTATTACGACAGGAATACGATTGATATTGAAAATTCAGATATACTTCTCATGACTTTCCTACCTAAAGTTGTTCTCAACAGGTAAGGAGAGGGTCGAAATTAATCAATGTTTTACGTCCAGTCTTTCGATTTAGTTTGTCACGCAGCCCTCCTCTTTGCGTGACGAACAAAGTGCTAGTTCCCAGATCTCTTGCGACTTCTACGGAAGCAAGATTTCGTGGAACGGAAGTACAACAAATAACATAATAATAAGTGGTTTATAAACATGATCAAACTAATAAATAACACAAACACGCTTTTCAAATTTCGGGGTTCGATCAGTTTGGACAGCACTAAAGAAAACGTTACAAACGAAATGCGCACAAGATAAGAAGACACAGTTGGTTGCTTTATTCAAACGATTATCATCTAATTTCTTAAATATCCGCTGATAATCACCTGTCTGTCACTACAGGGACGAAATCCACTCATCCGACGACACTGACAAGCGGTTTCAGTAAAAAGTAAAAAGTCTTTTGTCTGGCTGTCTCCGGCAAAAGAGCGCAGGGAATTTTGCCCGCGCGAGATAAAACCGCGTTCGCCTCACCAAGACCTTCGTTTATTTTCGTCTAAGAACTTTCCATCGAGTCCTACGGTTTGTTGAAAGGACTCGGGGACGTTTTGACGCCTCTGGGAGGTTCTAGCAGGCTCTCTTAAGATGTTTATAACGATTTATTACGGCGATCAGAAGTCGCTTCTGTTTAATCCAAGCTGCTCCGTGGTAAATCTATTGAAATCAATCAAGGAACGATGCGGTTATGGTGACTCGGACCGTGTGCTGGATCTAACCGACGAAACAGGTAATAGCTACACAGCTTTCGACACACTCTAACACGATGTACGGATTCACAAATGCTTGGTGTTCTCGATCGTCGGCAAACTCACAGATCCTAGTTTTATTCAAATTCAAATCAGGAAGCGCTTGGTTTATCATCGCAGAAAATTTACCACAACCGATAATAATTCTCAGCTCAGTTTTATTTTCAAGATTTCAGAATGAATTTTGATTAACCGACAAGTTAATTAACCAAGATGAGGCTTATTTTCAACCGACATCTTAAAACTTATAGAAATGACCCCAGGCTTGGAAAATTTTAACAAACGTCATAGCAAAAGCTGAAATTACGGGCCATTAATCGATTTTCATATTAAACACAAGTTCAAACCTAAATATGCATCTTAACCTCGTAACAGTATGATAACAGCATTACAAACTTTATCCTGGAAAGTGGAAACTGGTAAAGTAAATTGAGATTCGGTTCTATACACTGACCGTCGCCGATGTCAGTCTTTGAATTACTGCCAAACTTGAAGTAATTATTGAAATGTATATTAGCGGTTTTATATGACCAAGGCATATAATTAAGGAAAAAATTCGTAACGTTATCCCGGTCGTCTTTTGTTTCTAAAGTTATCGCAGGTATCCATGACACGTTTATTAATTTTCCGCAAAGTTAAAACGAGCAAAATCAGGTGATTTTTGTTTTATGCGGTCATGCATTTTCTAATGAAAAACGCAAAAACGTCTCTCCGTCTGCGGAACTAAAGCACGAGGCAAGCACAAAATAGCCATCGCCTGTTTAAAAAAAACAGAGACGGTAATTCAAAGCTGCCTAAAAGGAAAGTAGAAGATCCTATTCGTTTTCCAAGCAAAGATCTTTACAGACCCATAGAGTTGCCATGGAGTCGTGGGCTGTTTAACGACTTGGTCCAATGAGCAAGCACGAACCACTTTCGGCAATTAAAACACAATCTTACATGTAAAACACACGTGCACAGCCTCTTTTAATTACAGTCGTCCGATCTAATCTTTGAAAGACCTGCAGTTTAGACATATGTATAAAGAACAGAAAGCCCTGTCCTCCTCGAACAAAACCGTCTGGCTGTCAGTTTAACAGCTTAGGAACATTTACTGCAAATTAATTATACAAGCGACCAGAGCATAACTCGGAGGTATTTTAAGCTGCTTAAAATGTGAATTAATTACCTTTTTTGGATCGTCGTTTTGTTCTCACTCTTAACAGCTTTTATCAATGATAGCAGCTCACAGAAATAATTTTTCTCTGATCAGCAACGTATTACACTCCAACAAAACACAAACAGACATAAACAAAGACTAGAAAGACAGGATTATGAATGAAAGGATGACAAAATCCTGGATTAACAAAACTAATGGCCAATAACCCTGCTAAGTACCCTCAGTAACAAAAAAACAAACAGGGCAATTATCGTTCAACGGCTTGGCCAATATCGGCACGTCCTTGCAGTAGTAATTAAACAATGCAATGAACTGTACCGACCACAGTGTAGAGGACCTGAGCAAAAAGGGCCCAGTTATTGTAAATGTTGAAGATCACGACGGTGTTGTTCTGTTTGTCCGCGTGTTTTCGCCGATGTGATTTTAATGGTAGACAGCCCTGGGCAGACAGTTTAGTCTCTTCGAAATCTGCTTTGTCACGCAACGCATCATAAGGGAATTGTGTGACAACGTTGCATTGCCGGAATACTTCTACTCTTTATATGCCGTAGTGATTCGATTTAACGCCCTTCTTCCAATGCGCGTCCCATAGCGAAAAAGACATTCAAGACATTGACATGGAATAGACTGATTGGATGGATGAATTATGAAGCAATATATCAAACACGAGAGACAGCGTTTCATCGGGATATCCAAACACCGAGAAGAGAATTGAAAATATGACGCGCAGCGAAGTATTTTTGACGAAATTCGAGGTGTTTGGATAGCCGATGAAACACTGTCTCAAGTGTTTGATATATCTTCTCAATCGAAACAAAAACTAAGGAGTAAACGGAGACGTAAAATCGTCAAAATCTTTGCTAATTAAGACCGAATATCCAAACCTCGTTCAAGGTTTTAATTTTCTTTGTTTTACCTTGATCAATTATGAATGCGTTTGAGAAGTTTGCTTTCACATCTGAACGTAACCTTGCACACCCTTCTGTTACAGGTCTTGAGTTAAAGTATCCGTTCCATTTCATTGAAGTGTTTTACCTCATTCGGATGGAACTGTTGAAAAGCAAATAAGCGCCGTCCCTAATAAACGCCCTCCCTTGAGCTACCAAAAGTAGCCGAGCGCTAAAATGAATCATTATGGTACTTTAATCCAGTGCCTCTTTTCCGCTCCTTGTGTTCAGGTCTAGTCTTGGATCTTAGCAGCCATAAAAACGAATACGCAAGCAAGTACCTTGCCTCAAAAGGATATTACGTTCTGGTGGAAAAACGGACCGTCCCAGCACCAAAAGAATCGGGGCTCTCGCAGGAAGTCCAATATGTACCACTTCTACTAAGACCCAACGAAACATTTCACGGATACGAAGCTCGAGTTGCCGAGAAGAGGCCCGGGCATGAACAATCAGCTGCCGGCAGAAACACTGCTAGCAGAGGAAAGAGGGGAAAACTGAGATCAAGAAAGAGTATAGTGGAAACAACGTGACCTGTTAAACAATCAAAAAGTGGAGAACATTTTCGAATTGTCTTTGATTATCGGCCAACGTGATTGGTGCTATTCTAGAAAGTTTTAAGCACGGGTTATTGACCAAGTGTGAGGTCAAGATGGCTGGATATTGGCCTCGTTCTTTTTTTGCGTGTTTATGGACCGAGACGGAGTCGAGGTCCATAAACT